TTCTGCAACCGAGTTGCACGCCCCTGCCCCCCTCGGGTATTACCGGCGGTACTTCGTTTCGCGCCTCGTACCGACCAGCCTTCCGGTCGCAATCATCTCCAAACGAGCAACGCACCGTTATCGAAATGCACCAGAAACGAAGAATACACTGTTATCGAAATCCACCAGAATCCACGTCCAGTCCCGGAAACTAGGGCGATTTCCCCAGAGGAAGGAAGGAAGAACGGAAGGAAGGAAGAACAGAAGGAAGGAAAAACGGAAGGATGGAAGAAAGGAAGGAAGAAAGGAAGGAAAGAAAGAAAAACGGAAGGATGGAAGAAAGGACCAGAATCCACGTCCAGTCCCGGAAACCAGCACGATTACACCACGGAAAAGAAGGAATGAAGGAAGGAATGAAGGAAGGAAAGAAGGAATGAAGGAATGAAGGAAAAACGGAAGGATGGAAGAAAGGAATGAAGGAAAAACGGAAGGATGGAAGAAAGGAACGAAGGAAAAATAGAAGGAGGGACGAATTAAACGGGTAATTAAATAGGCGACGTCGAAGAGGTGGCGATAGAAAAGGTAGCAGGAAAGCAGGAGATAGGGTATCGGTGGAAGCTTATCGGTGTTCGATGAAATTGAGCGGATATCATTAAGCAGCAGCTCTCGTGGGAGTGTGGCGCGTAACCGGCCGGCCCGGGAAGATCGTGGAGGGGACCACGCGGGGTGGAGCGGGGCACGGGCCCAGAGGAGTAAGATAATAACGTATTCGACAGAGAATGGCATTGCTCTCGCGCGGTCGTCCGCCGCAGTATGAATTACATCGGCGATTGAAACTCGTTCGCGATGAAAAAAAAGCAGCCGAGAGGAGTCCTCGGGCTGTCGGAGGTGCCGGGATTTGCATATTAAATGGCTTGAGATTTATAACGGTCGGCCCCGGAGAGGTGCTAGCAATACGCGCGATAAATAAAGAACCTTCCCTCGCGATAGACTCCGCACCACCGTCACAGTTCCTCTTACGCTCCGCGTCTCGCTCGGGCCGATCGATTTCGACCATGTTGGGAAACAATGTGACTCCGACCGACAGCGAGCGTCGATAAATCCTCGATAAATCGGCGATGAATCGCCAACGGAATCGCCGATAAATCGGACGCCACCGCGAGAGGGTGCCGGACGAGGGGTGAGAGTAGGACGCGACTCGTTCCCCGGATGGATCTCTGGAGCGCGAAGGTGTCGTTGGTCGGGACGAACCGGTTCCACGGATATCGTCCCGCGGGCCGGACTTATCGTTGCCAATTATGTTCCGCTTATGCGAATTTGTGCGTTCCGCTTCGGCTCGTCGGCGCGTTTGATATACGAACGAACCGAACACTCTGTTGCGAAACGACCTCGTAATATCTATTACCGCGCCGAATTTAGAGGTCGTACGGAGATAAGTAGCCGCGGAATGGTAGCTCGGTGTCCTTTCGCGGCCCCGCCGATAAAGCTGCCGGGCTAAAACTCTCTATCGATGATTAACTTTACGACCGTTAATTAAGATAATCCTGTCGTTATTGCCAGCGGAGAAAGACCCCGGCTTCGATCTCTCGTGCCTCTTCTTCCTCCAGGCGTTCTCCGTTAGAGAAATCGACGTACAATGTAATTTCCACGACTTTCACTCGATAGACGTTCGCGTTCTTCTTCTGTCCAATCGACGGATTCACGAGGATTCGCGAGGATTTCCAAGGATTCGTGAGGATTCGCGAGGATTCGTAAGGATTTATGATGATACGCGAGAATTCTCAAGGATTCTCAAGGATTCGCGAGGATTTCCAAGGATTCGTGAGGATTCGCGAGGATTCGCAAGGATTTATGAGGGTACGCGAGGATTCTCAAGGATTCGCGAGGATTCCCAAAGATTTGTGAGGATTCGTGAGAATTCGCGAGAATTATCAAAGATTCTCAAGGATTCTCGAGGATTCCTAAGGATTTATGAGGATACGTGAGGATTCCCGAGGATTTTCGAGGATTCGCAAGGATTCGCGACGATTTCCAAAGATTTGTGAGGATTCGTGAGAATTCGCGAGTATTCCCAATTATTCGTGAGGATTTGCAAGGATTCGCGAGGATTTCCAAAGATTCGCGAGACGTGTTACGAGCCTCCGTAGGGTGAGATGATAACAAACACGGATCGTCGATGGCTGGACTAATGTACCGGGATGTGATGAATGGTCTTTTATATCTACGGACGTGGTCGAGGTGTTATGAATCGCGTTAGCGTCGAATCATTGTTCGCGTCGGCACAATAACGTGCCCCGCGGGGGGCGCTTCCCCGGCTTTTCGTTCCAGCTTCTTCCCCCCGATACGCTCCTTTATATTCCCTTCTTCGCTGCTAGTCGTACCCCTTTTTCTCTCCTTTCTGCCCCCCCCCCTCCCCCGTCCCCTCGTCGTCCTTTTTTCGGTCCGCGATTTTAATCGACCTCGTAAAGATCGCATCATCGGACTATCAATCGGCGCTGATTGGAAATTTATACTAGCAACGATACACACTTCTGTCCGTGTGATATATAATTTCTGAAATACGATCGACCCTGCCCTCTCCCTCGTATTTCTTCCGACCTCTCGCGCACCGTGCGTTTAATCGCGAGCTCTCCTTGCCCCCACTCGTCGCGAGCCAACAGCACCGAGGAACCAGTTTAATCGACTTCCAATGACCGATGGAACGATACTCACCCGATCTGTTCTAATTATTTCACGGAGATAGCCACCATAATAGCGTCGCCTTCGGAACCCTGCAAATCGATCATGCTCCACGCTACGCGGCCACGGTTCGTAATTAGAGGGCCCTGTTTCCGGTTCTGCCCATCACACCCTATTCCAACGATCTTGTCGCCGCGCTTATTTTCTCGTATTCGCGAATCCGACAGCGGAAAGAAATTTTTCAAACCACTCTCCATCGATTCCGATGTCGAAGAAGTCGATATTAACCCATTTGCATCCAAACGCGGAATAATCCGCGAGTCGACTTGTTTCCATTACCAGTTGCTGAATATTCTTCATATGCCACAGATCACCTTTCATCCCTTTTGCGAGGGGTACATCGGTTCATTGTATTCTTAACAAATTTTACTTTTGTCATGAAAATCCTTTTGACTACCATCACGAATAAGTGCCGATACGTGCAAGGTGATAGGGACCAGTTATTAGTTGAATGCCGCTGATGCCCGAACATGGCACCTTAAGCAGAGCCACGATGCAAATGGGTTAACGGAAGATTGGCTAAAATGGTACCAGTACGTCAATTTAGATCGCGAAAGGTGCCATCGAGTGTTAACCCGATGTTGTAGTTTAAGTTCCAAAGTTTGAGTCCCAAGCAGCGCGTCATCGACATTTTGTGTCGAAAAATCCCAGTACATTTCGAGCGCAATGGACAACTGACGGTGCTATCACTGACTGTCGAAATGGCACGCCCGACTTCGCCGATGCACGTGTCACATAGCACTAACAATGGGATTGGGATTTTCCGACATAAAATGAAACAAGCGTTATGGCGCCGTTTGGTCTTCTTCGCACTCGATTAAGACAAGCGCTATCGCGCTGTTCGGGCTTTTTCGAGCGTGTTCCTTTAAAAGCCTCTGGGATTCAAACGGTTAAATTCGCACGAAGTCCGCGAGGGGGACAAAGACCGCGAGGAGGTTTCCCAGTTTCGACCAGCTTGGAATCCACGATAATTCCATACCGTGTGACGTCGGCAGATGCAACGTATTATCGAACCTTTTAACCACGTGGACGTTTACGATGGGCTCGGACTAGGCCTCGATGCCCGTCGAGAATCCACGTGTGCAGGAAACGAGATGCGGGTCGCACGTGTGCGTGGTTTCTTTAACCGCTGTCCGCGTACACAGCGTGAATAATGCCTCGTAATTTTCGCAACGACGAAACTCACCCACCCCATCGTCGCTTATTCTTTCGATCCTCGGAATTTTCGCCTCGCGACGCGACGCCCTATCGCGCCTTTCGTCCCGGCGCTTGCCTAATAGTTCGTACCTGACTTTATCGCTACTTAACCCGCTGTTTAATACGACAGGGTGAGACGTCGTTAAAGAATCGTCTCCGACGCCGCCAGCCGAGGAAGAAACACGGCGCGAACGAGTACGACGGTGGAAGATAATAACCCGAGAGGGTTCGTTGCGCCGAAAGGGGGGCCCGCGCGGCGAGTTCCACGGCTGCCCGCTTCGACTCCGGAATGTTCACCGAATTCTAAATACCTTGGCACCGTTTCCGAAGTTCGCGCGACCATGCGAATAACGTCGCGCGACCATGCGAATAACGTCGCGCGACAATGCGTGGTCGACAGGTGCGTAGGTTAAATATACCCGAAGCGAGATATCGCCTCGACTCGCGAACGTCCGCGATTAATTTCCCCCGTCCGTTCGATCCCTCCACGCAGACCCCGAGGATAAGCCTCGGACGAATGGAAAACGAGAAAGAAGGCGGAATAAGAAGAAAATGGCGGACAAAGAGGGAAGGACGACGGAAGAAACGGGCGATGTTGGGAGCGTAGGTGGTCCAAGGTTAAATCCGGAGATTCGTTTCGGGATCCAAAGGCGTCCGCGTTGGACGTGCACGCGGGATTATGACAAGATCGCAGGCCTGCGCGGAACGCGACCGCTTGCCAAGAGATCGCAATACGTCTTCGCCTCTGGGATGGAGACAAATGCCGAGTCCGCGCGGACGAAAAGTCGAGCTCGCGCGAACTTCTTCCCGATGCGACGAGTGATCGTCCTTGGACCTCGATCGGAACGATCAATATTTGCGAAATTAATTCCCGCGAACGATCCGCAGATCGCCGCGATAATGAACCGCGACGCGGATCCGCCGGAGGTGGGGCACGATTCGATGCACGCGGCGCCATTTCGCGTGTTTGCCTCGACCCGCGATAACTTTTCTCGTTTATCCTTTAAGCTTCGTCCAATTGCCGCGTCAACGTTCGAGGACTCGCGTGCCGACTGTGTTTGCTCGGTTGATGATAAAGGACTCACCTCGTTTCTGCATGTAACTGAACAGGTCGTCCAGGAACTCCTTCCTCTTCGGATCGTCGTTGATCTCGTAGAGCTGAAAGAACGAAACAACCAACGGTGAACACGTTTGCGTGGAGAGCTGTTGGTTTCGGGGAAACGGGACAGGGATCACTCGCGGTATCGAGGGTGAAATCCTCGGCTCGTCGTGGACGTCGTGCCCACTCCCTTCGCTCCACGACGAATAAAATGTTATTCGGGCCGGGCTAATAAAAACAGGAGTGAAACAAGTGTGCTCATAGCGACAGGCAGATTAGTTAGCTCCGATTATTAATGATTCCGTTTAACCTGCCTCATAACCCGAAACCCCCTCGACCGAGCCAAAGCCAAACTCCCTTCGGGCTAGCGGCCCGTATTATCATATTTGTTATGTACGATGTGCTATATCTAATCCGAGGCCCTCTAATTGCTTTTATAATACGAGCCTCCCCCACCCCTCGGCTCCACCTCTTACCCTTTTTTTGCCCTCGTCTCCTTTGTACTCTTAAGCACCGTTTCCATTACCCTTTCTTTTCCACGGCTACTCATCAACTCGGGTGAACAATTATTGCAAGTAATTGCCGTTTTCAAGACTCTATCCGCTCCTACCTCCTTCCCGATCGCTCAAACCGTTTCGAACAATCTCCGCGCTCCTTTATCTCTTTCAGCCTGGCGACAGCTGCGCGAGTGTCACCGGTCCACGATAAACCGCGCGAAACGTGACGGTCCAGCGATTTCCGCTTTTAGAAATTACGTAGCACGCGTCTCGGCTCGAGACGAGAGACGCGCGCACCGAGGATACGAAGGGAGAGAGCGAGAGAGGGAGAGAGAGCGAGCGAGGCCGAAGCGAACGATCGCTTAATAGAAGCAGAGACTATTACACGAGTCGAATGTTACCTTGGATCATCGTCGAGGTAACACGCGCTTCCGACGCGCGAATTTATGAACCCACCCGATATTTAAGCCGATGTTGTCGCTGTTAGCGCGCGCACGCGCTGATAATCCCTTAAACGCGTTTCCCATCCTCGTCCGGCTCGTAGATCTGTCGGGACGATAAATTTCATTGAAACGAAACGCGGGCTGCTTCGCACCAGGGGTGAATAATTAATTTCCCGCCCGGACCAGCCGTTTATCCTGGCTAGTTCTCTCCGGATGCTGATCCAACGTGTCGGCCAATGGAGAGCGGAACGGGACACGTCTCCGTGGGGATGAAAGGGCGCGCGGCAATGGTGAATTTACGGGACGCCATGAGTACGAGATCCGAGACTTTCCGCGATGTTCTCGCGTCTTTGATCAGAGTTTCAAGTCTAACATCGATCGACCGATAAATTAATTTCTCGCGTGATCCGCTCGATCCGCGCTCATCTCCGCGATCGTTGCGTCACGATCGGTAATTAATGCGCTTCCTTGAACTCGCGTTGATACATGGGTGATGGCAATTGAAATAATACCGCGATTTTTTTGTCCAGATAGAGTTCTATCGACGTCCGAGCGAGATGTTGAGATCAGATGGAGAGTCGTCGATGATCAAGATGGAATCGTTTGCAGCCGCTTCCGGTGCATCGTGTTATCTCGGCTTCTCAAGGACGCTTATAGGTACCTAGTGATACAACGTTGGTAAAGTATACGAAATCGAGTCGGAATATCGGCTATCGGAGCATGTACTTAGTTGTCCGCGAGACTTTGCGCTAGTTAGAGATTTTGCACGTTCGACGTCTAACGCGATCCGCGTGTTCAATCTACGCTTGGATATCGCGAGTAGAGGAGGAAGAAATCGCGAAAGGAGGGACGCGTTTGTTCTCCGAAATGGCCGGTATCACGGCCCGCTTATTCATACATTCCATCCCGTGTTCATGGCAACGCCCTAGCTCGATCTCATCCACCCTTGCAACAGCGTTGAAACGAACGACTGGACAAACGAACGGATGGACGGACGGCATTTCTCAAGGGCCATTTTGTACCACTTTCTCGTGTTTTTTCTTTGGCTACACGAGCGATGAGCTCGTTAGGGGCAGCCGGAGGGAGAGGACGGGGTAAAAGGTCGGAGAAAGAGGAACGGAGCGAGCGAGGCCGGGGAGCAACGGAGAAGAAAACAGAGTCCGAGGGTTCAACCAGCGTATATTGATTGATCTACAGTTAAGCGGACTGACGGCAGCCACGTGAAGATCGGGTAGAACCGCTCTGCCTTCCTCTCCCTCTTGCGCCTTCGCTCTCGCCTTCCTTCCTTCTCCCACCTATCTTTCCCCTATCCTTCACTACCGTAAAATAAAGAGAGGCGAACGGAATTTGCTCTCGATGATGCATGCTTCGCGGCCCCGCCCTCTCCTTCTCATCGACTGACGGCCGGTGAATAATAATTCCTGATACAGCCGACGTTGATCGGGTTACTTTCGTCCCTGCGAGCTGCAGAGGAGGGACGCAACCCGCTTAGATGATCGATGTACGCGCCGCTGCTAGCGCCACGTCCTCCGGGATCCCTCCGCATCGACCACGCGATACGGTTGCGCTTTTATCGTCCAAACGATTAACTATCGTTAGCATCCCATCGTCGCATCGTTCAGTCGCCGTGCCACGCACCGGTCCATCGATTTATCACCCGGATCGATTCATCGATCGCGCCCGACCAGGGACATTCGCGCGATTGATACGTACACGCCCGTGACGCCACCTTCCGGGTTGCGACGGCAGCGCCGTTTCGGAGGATCACCGATTTCCGTGTCGGGACACCGCAAATCCGCCATTCTCGTCATCGAGTAGCTCGGGTTTACGAAACGCACACACGATTGATACGTACACACCCGTGACGCCATTTTCCGGGTTGCGACAGCAGCGCCACTCCGAAAGACCACCGATTTCTGCGTCAGGAAGCTGTAAATTCGCCATTTTCGTCATCGAGTAGCTCGGGTTTACGAAACGCGAACGCGATTGATACGTACACACCCGTGACGCCATTTTCCGGGTTGCGACAGCAGCGCCACTCCGAAAGACCACCGATTTCTGCGTTAGAACGCTGCGAATTCGCCATTTTCGTCGACGAGTAGCTCGGATTTACGAAACGCGAACGCGATTGATACGTACACACCCGTGACGCCATTTTCCAGGTTGCGACAGCAGCGCCACTCCGGAAGATCACCGATTTCTGCATCAGGACACTACGAATTCGCCATTTTCGTCATCGAGTAGCTCGGATTTACGAAACGCGAACGTGATTGATACGTACACACCCGTGACGCACCTTCCGGGTTGCGACGGCAGCGCCACTCCGGAGGATCACCGCGTTCCGCGTCGGGACACACACGTCTTCTCCGAGAGATCGCAATCTCGTCGAAACTTGGCTCTGAAAGCGTAGCCAACGGAGGAGAGAAGATTCGAAGGTGGTTGACAATGCAGTCGACTCGTCTACATAATTAGATACCCGGTCTCTCGTTTTCGCACGCGTACACCCGTATACCTGTCCGCTGCGCCCCCGCGACCACGGGGTCCACTTCCGGTCGTAAAAGCTTTTATAAGGGTGCGTCTCGAGCGAAACGGAAACGGGTGCAGCCTTAAATAATGCGTCCGTGGCTGGTTGTCGAGGTCAAGACGGAGTCGATGCGCTTCTAGGAATGGTTTATCAAAGACAGCTGACCCAGTCCATCCGACCAACACGACTGTTTTTCGAATTTCTATTATTTTACGTCGCGATTCGCTTCTAGATATTTTATCAACGTCGCGGTCCTATTGCATCCTTTGCAAAACGTAATTAACCCTTTCGTTATTAGAGGTGACTATAGGCGGCACATATACATAATGGGTGACTATAGTTCACTGGCCATAAAAATTAAGACAAGTGCTATTCTTTCGCCTAGCTCTCTTCGCAAAGAATTACAAGTGTTATTGCAATGGTCGACATTTTCTTTTTTCTTTTCTTATTTTTTTTTTTTTCAAAAGACTTAGCCCCGAGTGCTAAAGATTGCGCGCGTGTAATGCTTGCACCTTTGGCACGGAGCTTCCTTCTACAGGGGGGACACCGCGACGAGACCTGTCGTAGCGAAAGGGCTAACGTAGTTTTCGACAATCGAGAGGGTGTAGACCATAATTAACGTAGTCTTCGACCATCCAGAGGGTATATACAGTAATTAACACTTGGACAGCCACGTTGGTCATATATGACCGGTCATGGTTTCCCTTTGTGACGCCATGGTGGTCATTGGTAACCGGAACACTTATATGGTTTGCATAATAAATGGCGTCCTGAGCGAAATATGTGATTTCGGGATGACAGTCAAAGGGTTAATGAAGTTTTCAACGATCAGAAGGGTATATACCGTAGTTAACTTACTTTTCGACAATCTAGAGGGTGTATACCGTAATTAACAGAGTTTTCGGCGAACGAGGAGGTATATACCGTAATTAATGGAGTTTTCGTCGATTCAGAGGGTATATACTATAGTTAACGTGGTTTTCGACGATTTAGAGGGTATATACCGCAATTAACTTAGTTTTCGTCGATTCAGAGGGTATATACTATAGTTGACGTAGTTTTCGACGATTCAAAGGGTATATACTATAGTTGACGTAGTTTTCGATAATCTAGAGCGTATATATTATAGTCAACATAGTTTTCGACGATCGAGGAGATATATACCGTAATTAACGGAGTTTTCGTCGATTCAGAGGGTATATACTATAGTTAACGTAGTTTTTGACGATCGAGGAGATATATACCGTAGTTAACGGAGTTTTTGTCGATTCAGAGGGTATATACTATAGTTAACGTAGTTTTTGACGATCTAGAGGGTATATACCGTAATTAACGGAGTTTTTGTCGATTCGGAGGGTATATACTATAGTCAACGTAGTTTTCAATAATCTAGGGGGTATATACTATAATTAACGTAGTTTTCGACGATTTAGAGGGTTTATACCGCAATTAACGTAGTTTTCGTCGATTCAGAGGGTATATACTATAGTTAACGTAGTTTTCGGCGATTCAAAGGGTATATGCTATAGTTAACGTAGTTTTCGACGATTCAAAGGGTATATGCTATAGTTAACGTAGTTTTCGATAATCTAGAG